TCGATAGATGCATGTAAAGATTCTGATACAGTGCGTACGTACGTACGTACGTACGTACAGATTGTACCGAGGATACGTAATTTTACCTTTAAAAAGCTATTTTTGTTAATTCTTAATTAACCAAATTAGTAATATGATTATAATTAACGTTGATAGTTAAATAAGATTGACGAAAAATTTCCTATTGTAATATTTATAGTAAGCATATACTGTATATAACTTGCATTAATCCTGCATAAATAATTTATAGCATACGTAACAATTTTCAGGTTCGGTTTCACCAGTTATACAAAATACAAATTACTATAATTGGTAAATTAATTCATTGAATTATGTTTACAGTATTCGGATAAAAAAAAAAGCGGATGAATATTTTTTTAACAAAGCCATTAGCATTAATAGATCATGCAAATGAAATTATAACGTTCTTTATTCTTTAATTTTCCTAGTTTAAATTTAGCAAATATCGATATAGTATCAATGAAAACTACATCATATTGTATTGCCTGAAAAAGTTTTTTCGCCAATTACCAAAATATAAATTTAAATTACAGATTTTTTTTTGATAAAAGATATTTCTTTAAATAATCAGAGTACATTAATAAACGTAAATCTTGCACAATAATAACTTTTAAAAGAAAAAGTTCTCACAAGCTTTTCTCCCATAGTTTCTCATAAGGTTCATCAAGAAGTTTCTTAAGAAGGTTTTCACAAGCTTCAAAAGTCGCTGTAATGGTAGTAAGAGGAATATTTATTGTTTATTACATCATATCGTATGTACAGTACATATGTACATACATAAGAGATCATTCAAAAAAAAAATATGGATTTAATACTTAATAAGAAATCTTTACTAGTTACTTAAATCCAATTTTTTCTCTGATTCGGCCCATTATTTTACCGGGATTGCCTTTAGTTTTTCATACAATTCATCTAATCGGGTCATTAAAAAAAACGCGGTTTGATTACACGTTAACCCATACTTTTTGTTATTTTATAATTTTTTGATATTAAACAAAAAATTGGTAGTTGATTATTTAGAATAATTTTCATGTAATCGATCTCATGGAGAAAGTACTGTACGTTAGTATTTGCTTTATACTGTACAGATACTATACAGTAAGTGCACGTACTTACTTACAATACCGGCATGTATGATGTACCAGTTTTTTTTATAAATCAAGTTTCAAATCCGGTAGCATCAAAATTATTAATATATTATGATTTTTTTTTAAATCTATGATTATATATATATATATATATATATATATACGTTTTAGTATAATCATTATTTAAGGTTTTAAAATCTTTATAAAGAACGCATTGTGCTTACTTCACATAATAAAATATAAATAAAATATAATTAGCCATTTTGACGTTGTGCTATATAATAATAAAAAAAAAAGTTAAGATCCACATCATAGAATTCTATTAATAGTATAAAAAAAGTAAAAAATTACAAGATTTATTATTAAGGCAAAAAAACACCATTCGTATAAAGTTGTATAAAGTTATTTTATTTATTTATTTATTTATATATTTTTATATAACACATGTCATAATAAACTTTTTTAATGAGTTATTTATTTATGATTAATTGGTTCATTTTACTGTTTTAATCGTCGATATCTGATATAAAAGTTTATTTTAAAAATATACATATATATATTATTTTAAATAAAGTTTACATGTCATATTGTTAAAAAATAGTAAATTCCGGAATTTGGCATTTTGTATTACTGCAGTGCTGTGGCTATGACTACATTTTTAATTTTAAGTTATGTTAAGCACGTATGTACGTATATAATACGTACGTACGTACGTACGTACTTTTACGTACTGTACGTACCTGATATTAATTCATTCAAACTGTCATATACAATATATTTATACCAAAACCGTTTTTACTGTTGTCGTTAAAAATAATAAAAATATAACTGATAATAAGAGGCTTTTATCATCCCTGATCAAAGTATGTATATACCAGGTATATGTACGTATGTACGTATGTACGTACTTACGTTTACGTTAACCTTAACTGATTTTAAAGCACGTGTAAGGCATCCTTGATAATTGTTTTAAAGTAATACATACGTACGTATATTATTTGAATACGTTTATACGTATCAGATATTGTTTATTGTACACAAAATGCGTATGTACTTGCCTTTTAGAATTAAATATATATATTTGAAAATGATTTACCATCCAATCACTAATTTCGTTTATTTCGTTTTATTAATAGGTTGCTAAAAAAATCTCTTCTTGACTAAAATGCAATGTAGATCGTTCTAAATTTGTTGATTTATTAAGGTAAATTTCAAAAAGAAATCTCTCTATTAATCCTATTAATAGTAGATGCATATAAAAAAAATTTTTGTAATAATAATGAAAAAAAAAATTTGCGATAAAAATTGCATTGCATCTCAATTTATCCAAATTCGAATTGGAACCTTTATATTTTCAGTTTTTTTAAAAAAAAATTTCATCTTCATCTTCACAATATTTAAGGATAAAGAAACGATTTCATTTATTAATTTTTATTGTCCTAAAATCATGTCAGAATATCATTCCGATGAATCTACTACTATAACGTTTGTAGAAGATGAAGATTCCGGTGCAAAGCTTGATCCTACCGTTAAGCAAATTTTAAATGCTCAAGTCCAAATTGCCAAGACAAGACGATCCTATTTCCAATTATTTAGATTTGCTACTAAATGTGAATTGGCAATTATGTTTATCGGAATGATATTTGCAGGTGTTGCAGGTTCCGCGATGGTAATAATTATTATACTTATTTGCATGTTTCTTCTTATCCTACTCCCTCTAAAAAAAATATACTTTTTTTTTTATTTATTTTAGCCTGCAACTACGATCCCTTTCGGGCAAATTGTAGATTATTTTACCTTATACCAAAAACACTTGATAACTTATACTGAATTTACCAACAAAGTTAATTTCTTGTCCTTAGTCTTGGTCGTTTTCTCAATTTGCATTTTCGTTTCTACATATATATATATGGCCACATGGATTTACACTAGCGAAAGGTACTTAATACTTTGTTTATTTGTTTATTTTCATCACAAACTTTTTTTCTGACTTAATGTCGACGTATCATGTGATCTTGTCATACTAAAGGATAACCAGGAAAATTCGTGAAAGATATCTTCGCGCTATCCTTCGACAAAATATTGCTTATTTTGATAAACTTGGTCCCGATGAAGTTACTACAAGAATTACTTCGGATACTCATTTAATTCAAGAAGGTATTGGTGAAAAAGCTATTATTGTTATACAAGTAAGTAATTTGTATGTCTGCGTTTACTTTATATGATAATTTTTTTTTTTAGAAATATTTTAATTTTATTTTAAATTTAATTTTATTTTATTTGTATCTGTTTATTTTTTTAGTATGTTGCACGACTTTTATCAGCATTCGTTATAGCATTTTATCAAGGCTGGAAAATGACACTTGTAGTATGTTGTCTAATCCCTGTTGTCCTGGTCACCAGTAGTGTCTTGGGAAAATTTAGCTCAATTTTTATGAAAAGAAGTTTAAATTTTTATTCCGAAGCTGGAGCTATTGCTGAAGAAGCTATTTCAACCATTAGAACTGTTGTCGCTTTTGGTTCTCAAAAAAAGTTATCGGCTATTTATGATACTTATTTAAAAAGTGCAAAAAAAGAAGGTATTAAGAAATCTTTATTGGATGGTCTATTTCTTGGAGTAACGAGCATGGTCAATTATTGTATATATGCTTTGGCTTTTTGGTATGGCTCTACTTTAATCATTAGCGCAGAGATGTCTCCCGGAACCGTATGTATTTTTTAAATACAATTAAAATACAATTAAAATACAATTAAAATATAATTCTTATAATTATAATTTTTATAATTCTTATAATATAATTTTTTTTTTTAAAAAAAAAAAAGGTCGTAAATGTATTATTTGCAATTACGATAGGTTCTTTGTCTCTTGTCACTATCAGTCCTGATCTTCAAGTTTTTAGTTCTGCGGCTGGTGCTGGTGCTAAAATTTTTGAAGCCATTGATCGTGTTCCTCCAATTGATATTGCTTCTAATTCCGGTGATACTCCTGAAAATGTTAAAGGATATATTCAACTTAAAGATGTTTCTTTTATTTATCCTTCTCGTCCTGAAATTAAAATTTTGGATAATATTAATTTAACTGTTGAACCTGGTACTACTGTTGCTCTCGTTGGTGCTTCCGGTTCTGGTAAAAGTACTATTGTATCACTTTTACTTCGTTTTTATAATATTATTTCGGGTGCTATCCTTCTCGATGATAAAGATATTAGTTCTCTTAATCTTCTTTGGTTAAGAAGACAAATTGGTCTTGTTGGTCAAGAACCTGTCCTTTTTAATACCACTGTAGCTGGTAATGTCGCTCATGGTTTAATCGGTACTACTTATGAAAATCTTGAAGATTCAAAAAAACGTGAAATGATTGAACATGCTTGTAAAATGGCTAATGCTCATGATTTTATTATGATGCTTCCGGAAAAATATGAAACTAATGTTGGTGAACGTGGTTTCTTATTATCTGGTGGTCAAAAACAACGTATAGCTATTGCACGTGCTATTATCAAAGATCCAAAAATTTTATTATTAGATGAAGCTACTAGTGCTTTGGATGCTCAATGTGAAGATATTGTTCAAGATGCTTTGGATAATGCTTCAAAAGGTCGTACAACTATCGTTATTGCTCATAGATTATCAACTATTAGAAATGCTAATAAAATTATAGTATTGGAAAGAGGAAATATTGTTGAAATGGGTACTCATGAAGAATTAATTGATAAAAAAGGTGCCTACTCTAAACTTGTTGAAGCTCAAAAAATTCAAGTCTCAACTGCCGAAAATTTTGATGATGATGCGATATTTGAAGATAATAATAATAATATTCCTGGTTATATGTCAAGAAGTATGTCAATCAAACGAAATATGTCGATAAAACGAACCTTATCTTTAAGACGAAGCATGTCTATAAAACGAAGTATGTCCACAAAACGAAGCATGTCCATAAAACGAAGCATGTCCGTTAAGGGTGCTGAAGAAGAAGATATTGAAGCTGCTATAAATGAATTTGAAGATGTTGAAGATTATGATTATACAACTTGTCAATTAATTAGAAAGATTACATCTATCTATACTAGACCTGAACTATTCATCATTTTTTTAGGCTTGTTAATTGCAATTTTGAATGGTAGTTTATATTCTGTATTTGCTATCAGCTTTTCACATGTTCTTCAAGCATTCACTCTATCCGGTGAAAGATTACGTCATGATTCAATTTTTTGGTCTCTTATGTTTGTTGCAATCGCTGCAGGAGCAATGATTACAAATATTATTCAAGGTTTAATTTTTGGAATTTCTGGTGAAAAACTTTCCGAAAGAATTCGTTCAAAATCTTTTATTTCAATTTTACGACAAGATATTTCATTTTTTGATGAAAAAGATCATGGCATTGGTGTTTTAACTAGTAAATTATCATTGGACGCTGCTCATGTTAATGGTTTAACCGGTGCTACTTTAGGAAATATATTACAAATTACCGCAACAATGGTTGCTTGCATAATAGTGGCTTTCGTAATTGGATGGAGAATGACTTTAGTTTGTTTATGTTGTATTCCTTTATTAGTAGGATCTGGTGCATTCCGTATAAAAATGTTGAGCAAATTTCAGAAAAAAATGAAAAAAGCTTATGAAGATTCTGCTAAATTGGCTTGTGAAAGTGTTGCTAATATTCGAACTGTAGCTTCACTTACTCGTGAAGGAGAATTAGGAAGAATATATCATAATTTATTAGAGAAACCCGCACGACAAGGTTTTAATAATGCTTTTTGGCCTTCGATAGCATTTGCTTTTGGACATTGTACCGAATTTTTAACTTTTGCATTAGCATTTTGGTATGGTAGTAGATTATTTATGAGTAATGATTATAATTTACAAAAATTATTTGCTGTTTTTATAGCAATAATTTTTGGTTCAATGTCAGCCGTTCGTATCTTTGGTTATGCACCTGATTTTGCTAAAGCAAGTTCTGCAGCCAATTCTATAATGAATTTAATAGAAAAAGTTCCTCTTATCGATGCATGGTCATCAACTGGTATAAAGGTTGAAACGGTTCAAGGACATATTAAATTTTCCGATGTTCATTTTCGTTACCCAACACGTCCTCGTGTTCCGGTTCTTAAAGGGTTAAATTTAGATATTAAACCTGGACAATATATTGCATTAGTAGGACCGTCAGGAAGTGGGAAAAGTACTACAATTAGTCTTTTGGAAAGATTTTATGAATTACCAAAGGGTCAAATTACAATTGATGGAATAGACATTTCAACAATGAACGTAAGCAATCTTCGAGAACATATTGCACTTGTGAATCAAGAACCAACATTATATAATATGTCTATCAGAGAAAATATTATGTTTGGATGTCGATCTGATCAAATCCCTACTCAAGAAGATATAATAAAAGTTTGTCGAGAAGCAAATATTCATGATTTTATAATCGGATTACCTGAAGGTTATGATACGATTGTCGGTGGGAAAGGTGCTCAACTTTCTGGTAAGTTTCACGCATCATTATTATAAACATAATCATGTAATTACATATTTTTTTATAATCATTTAATTAATACAACATATACGTATATTTTTTTAGGTGGTCAAAAACAAAGAGTTGCTATCGCCAGAGCGCTTATTAGAAATCCAAAAATTTTATTACTTGATGAAGCAACTTCGGCTTTAGATCCCGAAGCAGAAAAAGTAATACAAAACAGTCTTGATGCAGCAGCACGTGGAAGAACCACATTGGCTATTGCACATAGATTATCAACGACTCAACATGCAGATATTATATTTGTTATAAAAGAAGGTCGAGTTGTTGAACAAGGAACGCATAAACAATTGTTGGAACGAAAAGGAATATATTATAGCATGGTACAAGATCAATTGTTAACCAAATAATTGTGATTTAAAAAAAAAGATATTAATATAGAAGTATATAATGGACTTTCACATATTACAAGTACTTGAAAGTACTTGAATATTTGTAAATTTATAAAAACTAAAATTTTAAACTTTACAAAATTTTAATGTTATTGTAATTAAACAAAAAACGTTTATATATATTTATATATTTTAATAAAAAAAATAAATAAAAAAAATTTAACACTATTCGGATCTTTGAAGCTAAAAAAAAAATTCGTTAATTTTTTTAATACATATGTAATACGTAAATGTTGTCAATAGTATAGATTAATTTTAAATAAAAGTAAAAATCTTGGTAATCGATATCTGATATTGTTATTAATTAAATACTGATCTAAAATGAATTAGCAAATTCTGAGGGTGTCGTTATATTATTTAATTCGTACTCATTATATCTATTAGTAAAAGGAGTTAGCGTTAGCGTTAGAGAAATGTTTAAGACTGGTCCGAAACGGAAAGCTTTTCTGCTAATTGTCTTGAACCAGACCGGACCAATTCTGGCTGATCATCAAAATATAACCTGTCAGGATTGCGCAATTTCAAGGAGAAATAATGTAAAGAACAACAATATCATACGTAATAATTGATTGGTAATTGAAAGACCGTTTTTAGGATCAGCGGACAAGGTAACAGACTACGTACGTACTGTACGTACTGTACGACGTACGTATTACATAAAAAGTTAAATCACATATAACGTGATAATCTCGTATATTATTAGTTGTAAGTATGTATTATTAGTAAGTTTTCACATATTAATAAATTAATAAATATTAATAATATTTCGATATATATATCTAATATATGATTTAACTTTTTATGTAATAGCGATAAATAGTCATTTTACCCATCTATAACTATTGACATTTGAAAAGTTTTTAATTTTAGCATCGTTTTATTTTAAAATATAGTAAAACAAGATGAGAAATATTTTAAGACCTCGTTATTATTATTTAAAGTATATACATTAACCGTATATTTTTTTTAGAGATAAAGTTATAGCTCTTGTAAATTTCTTGTTCTAATAATACCGCAGCTATATTAATTAATATATTTAAATATATATATGTATGTATATATCAGACATTTTTGATTTAAAATAAATATCGTTTTAGTCAATTTCAAATAAGGTTTTATGTATTCTAATCAAAAAAAAAAAAGAAGCTCATTACACGACAATACGCCCTGTATTGGGTACCCATTTATATTTTTCGTAAAATTCTAAAAAGATCGTCGTGAATAGGTGGTTGAAAATTTCGTCATTATATGATCTCCACCTTGCATTATCGTTATGTTAATCAGTTTTGTCTGCTACGTATATTAATAACAGCTAATTTTACTTTATAAATGAAAAAAAGAACTAAGTTGTACGGCATACCAAAAGAAATCATAGACTATTAGTACCCGTACGCACATATATCTAAAATGTACGTACATGTATACGTACCGGTATGTTAATAAAAATGGAGATCGCATGAAACCGAAAATCATTATCCATGTGGATAAACAGCGGATAAACTGTTTAGATATGAGAATTTAAATTTTCTATTAGAAATTTCTACATACCGATAATAACATGATACAAACTAGTTTTTTTTTTTATTTTTTAATACAGACAAACCTCTCTATAGTCACCTTCTATATAAGCATATTTTTTTAAAAGCAAATTATTATTAGATATAATAAATTTAATCTTTATAATTGTTACACTTTTTTGTATTTTAAGTATGTAATTATAAAGAAATTTGACTGTATTTTTATTATTTTTTATTATATTTTATAATTATTATTAGTTTAATTTTTTTTATATTTAATATTATCAAATTAAGCTACTACTCCTTTTATAGTACTTTCTATTATGGAGGTTAGAGTCTTGTAGCCTAGTGGTCTAGGCATCTAACTCTTCACAGACAAGGTTAATGGTTCAATTATAGCTAGTAGTAATTAATGTAGTTAATTACCTTTGTAAACTTCAGGAACTTTCAAATATGAAACCTTGTGGCAGTAAGACTATGTGATGTACATATTTGGCCTATAAAGAATTCTTAAAAGGAGCCCCGAGCTTTGGAGAAGTTTGGGCACTGTGTGTGATATGGGTTACAGAAAGTTTACTGTAGAAGGCTGTATATGTAAATTCACGATTGGCAAAGTAGCACCAATAACCCTAAGGCGGCATTGGGATCTTGTTTGGAAGGATGGCTACATGCATATATCCAGAAGTAGTGAGAGAAGTAGCGAACATAGTAAGGAGCTGTGATAAGATGATAGCTTTATCAAATATAAAACATCTCTAGCACAAAAGAAACAAGAAAAACTAGCTAAAAGAACCTCCAAAAAGTATGGAAACAAGTGATCTAGTGGTACAAAAATAAAGACAGCTAGAGAGTAATATGTCACACAACCTATATAGAAGTCAATGATGAAATATGGCAGAAGCATGAGTCTTGGGTCACTAGCTTGTAATAGTAATTAAAATGAGATACATAACTCCCATCTTAAGGATCTAGACTTCTGTAATACCATGCTGATAAGGAGTACTATAAAAGAAGGAGTAGCCTAATTTGGTAGTATACAACACAAATACCTGGATCAATGTGAAATAACATCCTAGTTTGGTACAGGCAACTGTTGAGATATGGCTAGGCTCTTAAAGTAACTCCTTTAAAGATACCAAACTGGAAGCATGAAGAGTACCTACTCGAAAGACACCAATTTAAAAGTAATACAAAAACCGAATTAGGAGTAATATAATAAGTAATAAGAGGTAGAAGTTAGTTGGTAGATGTTGTACAGTAGTATATAAGTAGGATATATATAATAAAATAAATTCAGGTTTGGAAACCATCCAGTGAGTTTGAAACTGGCCTGGTGTGAGACAGTTGATAAGGAGGTAAAATCTCATATAGCAGATCGCATGTAGGTACTCAAGTTAGTAACTGGGTAATATACATTAGATATTTGTAACTGTACTTGTAATATTTGTAACCAAAAATTATCCAAGTATAAATCAAATAAACAGTAGAGACAAGACTGCTGAATTAAAAAAAAAAGTACTTTCTATTATATTATTATGTGTTACAAAAGTCTAAATTCTTAGGACAAGAGTTAAATATCTTATTTAATTACTATCACAAGCCAGTAACCCAGAACTCATATTTTTGCTATATTTTGTTATTGTCTTCTATATAGGTTGTACAATACATTACATACTAGCTATCTTTATTTTCATATCTATGCTTTTTAGAGTTTTTTTAGCTAGTTTTTCTTGTTTTTTTTGTATTAGAAATGTTTTATATTTGGTAAAGCTATTCTTTTACCACAGCCTCTTACTATGTTTATTACTTCTCTTACCACTTCTAGATATTGTATTAAGCTATCCTCTCAATCAAGTCTATTACTGGATGTTGGTACTACTTAAAGACCCCCTTTAAGATTTACAAACATACCTTCTGCAGTATTACAATTTATGATCTATATTACACATAGTGTCTATCTTCTTCAAAGCTCAGATCTACTTTCAAAAATTCTTTATTAGCTAAATATAAATATTACATAGTTTTACCACCACAGAGTTTCATATTCGAAAGTTCCAAAAGTTACAGAGATAATTAATAAAATTAATTACTACTAGCTATAATTGAACTATTAATCTTATCTGTAAAGAGTTAAGTACCTAGCAATTATTTAAAATTGTATAGTCTTTTATTTTTAATTTAGTAATTATTATCAATAAGCTAAGTTCAGAATTATTAATTATAAAATATGACAAAAAATTAATTATACTTGTAAAGAAATTACTAATAAGTTTTAACTTAATTAGATTTATAATATTTTATATATGATTTTGTAATATGTATTATAATTTAAATAAGAGATTTAATAAATAAACTTTTTAATTTGCTTTATACAAAAATATTAGAAGTCTGTTTAATATAAGTAGAGTTTGGAACCAGATTTGATCTTTGAATTTAAATCTAATTATTTTCTTTAAATTAAAATTTACTAAATCATATATTGTCTAGTTACAGTCATACCTGAGTTATATTCCCCCTTTTTTCCAAAGCATTTTTGGTGATATAACTAAGGTTGGGATATAACTCAATATATAAACTATATAAAAAAGAGAAGTTTATTCTGCTAAAAAATGGGAATATAACTCAGGTTGGGATATAACCCAATGAAAATATAACTCAGGTATGACTGTAATTAATTAATTAATTGACTAATTAATTAATCAATTAATCAATTAATTAACTAATTAATTGATTAATCGATTGGTTGATGATAATATTTTTTGAATTAATTTGTATAATACTACTATATATTGTTATTTTTTTGAATTTGTAATTGTTGAATTAAATTTAGATTTCAACTTAATAATTCAGATTTAATCTAAAGTAGAGAATTGCTAATTGATATAAATCCAAATTTAGAATCAAAATTTGGTTTCATACTTTAAATAGAAGTTTTTTAAACCAGGTTTAAATCTTAATTTAAAATATAGAATAAGTAGCATATTTGAGACTTATTGGTTCTATACACTACATATATATATTATATATATATAGTAAGAATTAAGTTTTTAAATTTAATATTTACTAAGTTATAAATTGAAGTTGGTAATACTTATATATTGTAAATAGCTATAGAATATTAATTGTAATTCAGGTCTGGGTGCAAGTTTGTCAAGCATATATATTTCAAATTTTTATTTACTGTGATAAAAGCTTTTTAATACAGTATACCTGAGGTTTATTAAGGTTTTAAATTAGTGAAATGTACTAAACCTGGTTTTGTATAAAATTATTTATAACAATACCTGACAAAGTTGTGGGTTTGGTTTTTGTTTGTATTACAAATTTGAATTAGGCAGATGTTTTAATATAACCTTGAAGTAAGTAACTTGCTATTATAATACTAGATTACATTTTTTTAAATTAAATTTTAAATTTTAAAATTTAAAAAATTTTAAAAATTTTAAATAAAAAGCTAGGCTAGTGAGTTAATTTTTTTATTTTATATTATAAAAACTAAAAAATAAACTTTATATAGCCTTAATTAAATCTATTTTAAAAAAATAATATATATTTAGATTACTTACTATAAAATAATATATAATGAAGAGTAGGATTAGTTAAATTTTTAATAATTAATATAATATTTAAATTTAAAAAAGCAATAAATAAACTTGTACAGAGTAGCTTTTTAAAATTATAAAGATTATATAGAATAAATATTTTATTAAAAAATTCAAATTTAATAATATAGGCTGTATCATCACTTCTGATACATCATATTTTATAAAATAAATTAAAAAGCTTATTAATAATATTAAATC